TATGCACTAAACTCTGCAGTGGGAGTGAGTGCTCAGCACTCTGCTTGCTTACTGAAAGGTTAGCCTAGGCAGCTTCAAGGGCCAACATTAAAGTGACCCTGTTCCTTCGCACTGTATGGGTAAAGCACAGGTACCCTTTATACCTTCTGTGGCAAGATCTCTGTAAAGCTTCTTTCTTTTACACATCTTGGTTTTACTAGGCCATTAATGTCCTCATTAAAAATGATCTCTCATATTGACAATATTTGATTAATCAATTAACCTAACCAACGAGGACCCAGCACGGGGCGGTCACAGTCCCTCAGAGTGGCAAACTTTGGAATGGGAGATACTTTTTTTCCTCTCTAGTGTTACAATGTACAGCTGAGGACACATCTCCTCCAAACATCTACTCTGAGAGGACAATGGGGTCAATTCAGAAAGATTAATTTATGGGTTGTCACTACTTAGAATCGGGGTGGACAGATTAATATGGAATTCAGGAGCCAGTTTGACCAATCAAGGAGCAGGCAGGATTTATATCAGGAGCCCGCCTATTGACAACAACTGGAGAAAACCTCAAACTTAGGCACCAGCTAGAATTTTTGTGCTGACCTGGTTGCTGGGATTTGTCCAGCCCTGACTTGGAATATCACAAGCTTCTGCCAGGAGATAATTGTGAGCTCCTATGGGTTGTCTATTGAGTAGGAAAAGGAACCATTTCAGAGCCTTGCTCCCCATTGTCTGCTATCACTATTAGATCTGCATATCATGGCTATACCTTTGCAATGGTTGCTAAATCGAGCTTTGTTTTACAGGTACGGTTGGATAGACAATAACACAGTCGTCATCCCTCGGATAACGGCCAATCCAATCTGCGCTGGTAACTACGTGGGGCTCTATACACTCCACCCCAATCTTACTGCTCTATACGATGTCTTCTGCTACAATGTCTCAGGTCAGTATGGCTGACGACTGTTCAAAACTGCCTCCATAGATGTAGGAAAGGATTAGAAGGCTTGTCAAGTGTTTCTTGCTCAATATTTTTCCAGTGGTGAAGAGTGCTGGATCACGTAATGTATTTTATATAGTCAAAGCAGACTGGCAGCTCTATATATCTCAGGACTTCTGTGGATGGTCCTCAGAGAACCATGAATACATGCAAACATAAAAGCTCCACTCCAGTTATAAAGTCCAGAATTGCAATCACCAGGAGAAATGCAACACATTTCAGCGTTGCAGAGATTTCTCCTTCTTCCAGGCCGATTAGGATGAATGACATCTAGACCGGACAGTGATATCAGAAGGATGGGCCATTATTAATAATTACAATGGAGGCTTTATGTCTTTCTACTTCGGCAGCCAACAGAAAGCCTTATCCTGCAGAAAGGGGGGACCTTTGCAACCCCTGAAATGTGTTGACTTTCCCTTGGCAGCTTTAAATAAAATCCTATTCTGGAGTGCCGCTTCTATGTTTTATCCTGTAGTTACGTTTTTATTGTTGCCTGTTCTCCTTCTTTATTTGTCCTGGTGATCATCGAATGTTAATATTGTCAGCTGGACAAGTGCTGAGATAAAATCCCCACATGTTCCGGTGACAACTAAAGCTGGCCACAGACCTTACAACCATCGCAAGACTTTTGTCTTGCGATGGTTGTAAGCTAATTAAAAGCTCGTACGATCTGCCCATCTTGGACAGGCAGATCGCACTTGCGATAATCGCAAGCCCGCCCCCCAGAGGGGTGGGCTTCCAATGACCGCAATGCTGAACGGGCAGTGTGCGCTTGCGCACACCTGCCCGTGCGGCATTTATCTTACGAACATGCCACACACCCGCCGACAATCGAACGATTCTCGGCGGGTTTTTGAACGTGTTCCTAAGATAAAAGTCGTGCGAGCGTACAGTAGAAACGGTTGCACGCCTTCCACACACCTTGCGATAATCGTACGATCGCGGGATTTCCAGCGATTATCGTACGATTATTGCAAGGTGTGTGGGCACCTTTAGAGGGGAGTTCACACAGCACTTCCTGACATTTTTGACCCATGTCCCATTTTTGACCCATTTTTGCATGTATTCCGCTGTTTCAAGCCATTTCTCGAGGGAAATATTTAGAAGGAAGCTCTGCACACCACTGACTTTATCATTATTTTTGGACAGAGTAAGGAAGGGATAAATGCCAATGTTGGTTTATGTTATTGCCTGTGTCCCCTTGGTGCGAATTCCCTTTACTTCCTGTCTGGGAGATACAACAGCAAGTGGCAAGTATTCAGATGTGAAGGAAGCGCACCACCGCACACCACTGACATCATCATAAAACCTAATTGCAGTCCAACAGGCAACATGCTCCTGTTCCCCACCTGTAAACCTCCTATTTCTGATGCGTTTCACCACAAATGAACCCATTGGGGGAAACACATCAGAGGTGGGTAGTTTATGGGTGGGGAAAAGGAGCATGTCAGCTGTTGGATTTCAATGAAGTTTTATGGTGATGGCAGTGGACAGGAGCATGTCAGGTCAGCTGTTGGATTGCAATGAAGTTTTAGGGTGATGGCAGTGGTGTGCGGCACTTCCATCCCACCTGAATAGCTGTCACTTCCTGTTGCATCTCCCTAACAGGAAGTGAAAGGCAATCCTCCCAAAGGGACACAGGCAGTGATACATAAACCGACAAGGGTTTTTTTTATCCCTTCCTTACTCTGTCCAAAATAAAAAACAAAATTTGGTTATACAAAAAGTTTCTTCTTCATCACTGTGGCTCTTGGAACTCCCTCATTTGCATAAACCTAAAAATATGTGTGGTCGTTAAAAGCCATATTCCAGTACAAGGGATGAAGGTAATAGTGATGATTGCTTTTAGGTAACTCCAGAGTTCACCTTTAAAGGGATTTTCCACTTTCATGTCAGGAAGTTTTATGAAAGGCGTGTTCGTTATTAATGGAAAAAAACGCAGCCGTCTTACATAACCCTTCAATGAGGGCAGACAGGTTGGACTCACTTTTCTATCACAGACACACATCAGGGTTTTGGGATAATCGTATTGTTTCTCTGGCTCATTCACACCAGGCTGTTGCAGTAACACAAGTCTTTGTGAACGGCACCCCAATGCCCCTTCACGGCGCATAGGCGCTGCAAGACATGGCGGCACCACACAACGCATGTCTCCCTGAGCGTACACTGAATTGTGTTGTAATATGCAGTAAGTATTGAAAAGGTGCCATGCAGGCCGTTCATAGGGACGCACCGATACCTGTTTTTCGGTATCAAGTGCGAGTACCGATTCTTTGCTTTCGGTACTCGTTGATACCGAATAACCAAACCCAGTGCTTCTGCTGCCATGATTGTCCAGAGAAGCTGGCTCCATGTTGTCTGGCCGGCTTCTGACTGTGCTTGGCCCGGGTAACCGGCTTCCCAGCCAATCAGCATCGGGCCGGCTTCCGGCCAATGAGGAAGCCAGGTGATGAGTAATGACCCGCCTTCCAGGTTCCTGATGGGCCAGGAAGCCGGCTTGATGCTGATTGGCTGGAAAGCCAGCCTCCCAGCCAATCAGCATCAAGCCGGCTGTTCGGCCGGCTCGATGCTGATTGGGCGGGAAGGCGGCTTCCGGGCCAATCAGCAAGGAGCTGGCTGTTTGGCCGGCTCGATGCTGATTGGTCGGTAAGCTGGCTTCTTGGCCAATCAGCCTCAAGCCGGCTTCACGACCATTCAGGAACCTGGGAGGCGGGCTCCTTTGCTATCCAATCATAGGCTATAGAGGCAAAAAGGTGACCCATCTACTCAGGTCACCAGGCTGGAGGTGCTGTTTAACAGAGCTGTGTAAATCTCAGAACTGGGTGAACAGAAAATATAAACCCTTTAGAGTCAGGTGAAACATTTCCTATATATGTATTTCAACATTTTCAGCTGTTTGCCTGGAACAATGTATCTGTTTATTTATTAATTCTTTAATCGTATACAAAATTACAAAATGGCAGTGGCGGTGGTCCCACATACGTGCGGTTTTGTCAGGCTCACCAGTTTCGAATTGACATCCCTGTACATTATTTTGAAATGCCGAAACCTCTACGTCCTTATTATTATAGACATCAGCTGGTGATTAAAATTACATAACGGCACACCACACCCCTCCATTCCTGGTACCATCCTGTGGGGTCAGGGTGGAGTGCGGGCATTCGCGGCATTGGCTTGAAGCGTCCCAATTCTTCAGGGCGGCAGTTTGGGAGTTGCAGCTGGATTGTAAAATGATTGTATCATTAGTCAGGGATAATCACCGGTGACATAGCAGGTCATTAGCTAATATTAATACATAAATCACAGGTCTGGAAATAGTAACTGAATGAATAGCGGGGCATTGCTGTATGAAAACTACAATCATTCATCGAGGTAGTAAACTCAAAGCAGAATATTGATCGGTTGCCCTGTGGGCTTTACTTAAAGCTGAGCTCCAGGCAAAAGGCTAAAAACACATGAGCAATACAGATATGGGAGCCATTTTACGTGCCAAAGCATTTGTATTTCTGTCCATCCATTCCTGCCATACAGCACAGCTCTGCCATACAGAACAGCCCTGTCTAGCAGAGCTGGAGACCTGATTTTTCTCTGTTGCAGTTCAGCACCATTTACATGTCTTGTCCCTCCCCCTGCCTCTGACTGGACAGTGAAAGGGAAAGCAGCAGACTGATGAGCTCAATGCTCTGTCACTCTTCTCCCTCCTACTATCACTATGTTCCTTCCTCCTAAAGTTTTGGATGGAGTGTGGAAGGTTTAGCGCCATGGTGTCCAACCTGTGGCCTAAGGGCCACATGCGGGTTCTTTGAAACCTTTTGAGCGGCCCTCACGTTTATCTGACATTCCGATACTAGATTTCAGAGTGACCGTCCTTATGCCGCCGGGTGACCGTCCCCTCCTCTCTTTGCTGGCGTCCAACACCAAGATGGGCGGCGGCAGGTAGCAATAAGATGGCCACACATGCGCGATGAAGTAACAGTGGGGTGTCACACGGTATCTGTTCCGGGTGACCTCTGGCCTCGGGGCACTCCTGGTTTGACGCTCGCATTAGCAATGCATTTCTGACAGATGTTCTAAATCTTCCTCTTTCTACTAGACAATGCGTTTTTATTGCTGCCTTAGTTTCAGCATGGGGATTACCCCTCATTTCCTGTTCTGTCTGACACAGGTGCAATAGACAGATACATACTGCTTTATTTATTGCAAAAAGATGGTGACACATAGCAGGTAAATACTGATTATGACTTTGTTTCTTGGGTCTTCTGATCTTCTGTAATGACTAGGTAACTCCGGTCTACAATTGAGGGAGATATAATTGGTGCTCTGTTGTTCCCAAGGATGACTCACAGTCTTGTCTTGGAGTATAAACCTTTGCTGCAAGAGTACTTAACATGAATCTCTGTAATGCAATAATCCAGGGCTTGCTGGCCACATAAATACTTTGCAATGTGGACAGAGCATATTGGTCTCGTGCCCACAGTCCCCAATCTGTAGGCCAGACCGTTCAGAAACTTGGCAGTTCCTCAAATTCCTCAGTGTAATTGGTTCATTCACAGCTTAGCATCACTGCTCACTTGGGGGTTTGAAAACTTGTAGACTTGCTGCCATTGTAGGACCACAAACAAGCTCTGAGGGGCCAAACAAGCACATTACATATATGCAGTGTTTGCACCGTTGTTGTTCACAGCACATGAGTTCTCTCAGCAACCAAAATAGACTACAAGCAACACCCATGACAAGTTGTGTCCTCTGAGGGTGGGGCTTCTCCCATGATATAGGTTCCTCCTCTAAAGGTGTATATGGACACATTGTAGAGGAACCTTTCTCAGCCAGGATTCCGTGGAACTCTAGGGTTCCTTCGGAGGTTGCTAGGGGTTTCTTCGGCTGTGGTTCTGGGTCCTACACCACTTAGCAGAGCCAGCGGCTTGACATCAATGATCTTTTTAGCTTTTTGTAAGGGTGGCATCCTGACCACTTCTATTCCACCCAATAACCGCCAATGTAAGCATAACCTGGTTTTAGCAGGTGTTCCTCAAGACCTGAAATTTCTTTTTAAGGGTTCCTCTTGGTTAGAAAAGTTTAAAAACAAAGACTGCTGTAGAAAAAACCCTAACAAGTGCTTTACAGTTAATAATGTCATTTGTCTCCCTTTACACAGACCAAACTGAAAAGAACTGTGAACAGTATGACTACAGGAACAAAAGTATCCCATCACATGATCCCACCGAGGAAGGTGCGTCTTTTAGTAATATAAGTAAACGCTTTATCTGGGAGGGTAGTCATTTCGGCAATACAAGACAATTTCCACTGCATAGATATCAAGGTTTGAACTAGCTGTGTTAGTGGGAAAACCCTGAAAGATGAAGCTCACAACTACAACTTGAATTATGTAGTCCACCCTTCATAGTCTTGTGGTACAGTCCCTCATCCATATGGTGGTAGTAAAGTCCATCTTCTGTAATATTGTTACTTAGTCTATCCTCCTTATTGTCATGGTATAGTCCATCTCTGGTTTGTTGTGGTATAGTCTATTCTCCATATTGCTGTGGTCAATGTATCTAGCCCACCACAGTTTCTGTATGTTGGTGACTTTCTGACTGCCAGGTGGGAACCAGCATACTTAAAAGGAGGAGACTTTAAAATAGAAAATTAAACCCTGAAACTATATAAACATTCTGAATGACTCTGACTTGTTTCCAATGTATTTGTTATGGCTGTTTAACATGCACCTGTAGACTACACACATGGAAGCCGCCATTTTGTGTGAGACCTATTGATACTATAAGAACCAATGATATTGCTGAGGTTCAAGTGAGTTCCATATAAATGTATAGCCTGAAATATTTTTAATTTCAAGCTCAAAATATTTCTGCACAGAGTAAGCCTGCTCAGGGCTTTGCTCTTGTAACTAAAGTCATACTGTACAGAAATTAGTTCACTGTCCAAAGTGGCTGATACACAAAATGGCCGCCTTCACAGTGTCTAGAAAACAGGTACTTAAGGAAAAGTAAGCCCTAGTGGCCTATGGGGAATACTTCTTCCTTAATAAGCATTTCCTTGCTCTCTTCCTCCATGTTAGGAGTCTACGGTGATTCCGAGTCCACTAAAGTGAGTCCAACTCACCCTGGACTTGACGTAGGTTCCACCCACAATGGTCAAATGACTGCGGTAGAGAGCGTTACATCTGAACCTGAAATGTCTACTGAGCAGTCCGAACACTCAGGAGATCACAATGTACCAACAGAGGATTGGGACAATACAAGTCTCTATAATAATGAAAATGGGGAACATGGTGGCGCTACCGATGGAGATGAACTCATCCCATTTGACCCAGCTGGTGAAAAACACGTGAATCGAGAAGATGGCAGCGCCCCAGCAACAGACCCATCTAGTCACTGGAACACAGGATCACATAATGGTAGGACAAAGCCTTTCCTTGGGCAGTGGTTTACCCATAACAAGTCATTCACAGATGATGCAAAGACTTAATACTTTGCATTATTAGAGCCTCTTGCCTAATTGCCAACTTTCTGTCAAATTCTCTGTAGTATGTAGTTCCGTCCATAATGAATTCTAGATGATTATACTGTGCTTCATCATTCTTGTTCTGTTGGTGTTTCTGGGTATCTATCCTTGCTTTTCTTGCACGTGATAAAACAAAAAATGAAAGTAAATCTTCTAATATTTCCATTTTGGGTAGTTGCTGGTAGCATCTTATATTTCTTAGAGATTGATGATAACAGCACCACCCAACTACCATGGTCACCACAAAGCTTGGTGACACTCCTTATTGGAGAATAAGACCATCACTGGAGCCTGAAAGAGATATAAGAAGCTAGTGGTTGAATCAGTGCATTGATGTCCACTCAAAGCTGAAATATCTATTTTGGGTTGACCAATTCTTTAATAAAGGTAAATATATAAATGTAATGGAGTGACATGGTATGATAATCTGGAATAAAAATGTTTTGCAGCCAGTTGTAAGGAATCAGTAAAGGTGAAGTTCACACGGAAAAAAGATTTGTCTTTCTTATGGTTTCTTGTTCTGTACTGAATTCTGTAGGTGTTAGGTGAAGAAAAACGGTAAAGCCAATAAATTGTACATCCAATTGAACCGGCTCTGGCTCCATGTTTTATACAATCTTTGGAACATTTGGAACAAAAACAGACCAAACAAAAGCTTAGTTTTTAGGTCAATTAATGTATTTTTTCACTGTTTCCTAACCACAAGATTAGCCTCATGTTCCGGCTTAAATTATTTTCCTGGGAAGTACTGAAACGCTTTCCATACATTCACAAAAGTGGGCCACGGGCTTCCAAACCCCAGACGATTAACTTCCATGAAACAGCTGAAGGCTTTGTGAAGTCTGATTCCTTATCTGATATCAGCCAGTTACTTGTCACCTGCTGGAATGGCCTTTATTGTAATACAGTGGTGGAGACATTAGACCAGGGATAGGCAACCTTGGCATTCCATCTGTGAAACTACAAATCACATGAGGCAATGCAAGACTATGACAACCATGGGCATGGCTACGAGAGGCAGAGGTATGATGGGACTTTTAGTGTCACTACAGCTGGAGTGCCAAGGTTGCCTACCCCTGCATTGGACTATGGGGACAGAGACTGATGTCAATAGTTCTGTGAACTCTAAGACGCAATGAGGTTGAACCACTAGAAGGGTAAAGCACGTTCAATTTGCAAAGGGAACAAAATGAGTGAATTTTCACTTAGGTTAGTAAATGAGGTGAGATTGTGCTGACTTTAATCATCCAATCATGTGCGAGCACAAAACCTTTACTTTTTTATCTTTTCCTTGCACCTAACTGGATTTTGCAACGTGAATTTTCACCTTGTTTGCTAAGATACGTGAAATTCACAATACAATGTGGACATGCTGTACCCGTTAAGTAGATCAAGTTTGCTGCATAATATTTTCATCAATAAAGTGTAAGTATAGGCAGAACAGAAGTAAATAGTCCAGATCAGACATGTAGTCTCTCTACAACAGCGATAGTGCCGTATTATGTGCACTAGTGCTTGGCGTGCCAGATGCTCAGACTGAACACAAGAAATCAGGAAGCATTCAGGCAAGTGTCAGGAGGCAGGGTTGAGACTCCTTAGAAATTAGATTAGATGTAAGAGAATTTGTTCCTGAGACAGCATTTTTTTTCAGAATGTCTTACCTTGTAATAATATGTACTGTATATTAGTTATAAATGTATAAAAAGTAAATCAAGGAATTTTGTCTTTTTTTTTACTGTAACAGAAAATAGTCCACTCAATGCTCTGAGTAAAGGTCCTTTTGATGTTTTCCAGCAATATGTACTAATCGTTATGCACAGTATTTACTCTCATGTGCCATGTGCTTATTCCTCAGAGTTTCCAAACACATCAGATGACCCTCATACAAATGGTGATGATGAGATTGTGGATAGTTCCTCTGAAGATTATTCTGTCAGGGACAGATCAGGATACCCTCATAGCAAACAGAACAGAAGAGCTGCTGTTCCAGGTAAGACAGCGACATAGTAGGGACGCAGAGGTCTTTATGCAGGGCTGGAGGCACGCCACTAGGGTCGGTGTTGGCTTGACCAGTAAAAAGGTGACTTGTGTCCAACGTTGGTTAATAGGAGATCATAGGTCTGGTATTTACCAGGAAAGGTCACAAACTTACAGACCACTGCCAGTCACAATGGTGTATATAGTGCATCTCTGTGGTTCCATAATGTAGGGTTCAGAGGTCCTGAAACCATGTGGTTCATAGGGTCAGAAACTTGGTGCAGATGCTTCCTTTTTTATGTGATTCTTTAATGGTTTTGGTTAAATTTTTCTGATTTTTTTCAAGTATATACATTTTTAAACAGTTTAAATCGTACTATGTGTACAAAGTTTTAGTTTATTGATACATTTAAAAGTATTTATGAACACACAGCTATACAAGCCAACTGTAATGCATTTTTTTTAACTCTAATTGCATTTATTTACTCTAACTGCATTTTGTCAGCCAAAATGGCGATGGGGGAGGCACAGGGTCCTACAGCTCCAAGCAGGGTGCACAGCTATACAAACTGGCCACTCCAGCATGGACCTGCTCCCATGCTTGGCATGGTCAGATTGAATTAGGGTAGCAAGGGAACTTGCAGGATTGCCAGGTATTTCACATCAAAAATAAAAATAGAAACAGAATAGGCTGGGTTTGTCAATATGTACATGAAAACACAGCCACATACAGTGTATGTTAGGGGTAACCAGGGCGTCCTTCGAATGAGGCAGTCTGAGGATATTGAAATACCTTTTGGGTCATGTGAGGGGCGTAGGCACAGCCTACTGCCCCCTTTCTGGCCAGAGCATCCCAGGTTGCTAAGAGCCAGGTGGAGAGATGTGTATGACCCTTACACATCTCCTCTCCCAGCTCTTAGCAACTCGGGATGCTCTGGCCGGTGTCCCAAGCAGCTCCTGGCTACCAATGATGACGTCAGTGAGCTAGGTGACCGCCGGCCAGAGCTGGGTGGTGCACCACCAGGATGCCAGCTTGAGCACCGTTAGCTCCCCCCAATCCCACCCCCCTGGAATGGGACCACCAGCACACCCCGCCCCAGGCAGCAATTATGCTAGTGTACACTTCAATAAAGGGTGGACCCATGGCATGGAATTCACGGAAGGTTCGAATTTTCCAATAAGGGAATAGTGCAGATGGACTCTCCCAAATGGGGGACTATTTGGACTCCTGGTGACTACGCGAATAGTGTTTCTCCAGAATGATTGTGTCCTTAGTCTTCACAACGACATGTTCATACCTTCCGTATCTGTTGCCAATTTATTGCTGGTTCTTCTCTTCTGTTCCTCTCATTTTTTTCAAGCACAATTGTCTTTTCCAGTGAGTTGTTTCTTCTCATATTATATATCCAAAATAAAACAGCTTCAGCCTCGTCATCTGGGCTTTTAGTGAAAGGTTGGGTTTGATTTGTTGAAGGATCCATTGGTTTGTTTTCCTTGCTGTCCACAATATTCTAAGAATTCTTCATCACCAAAGTCCAAAGCCAACAATACTTTCCTTATCTTGCTTTTCCATTATCCAGCTGACATAGCATTAAACGGTTGACAGAGGTTCTAACCCTCCTGTAAGCTATGTAAAAAAAAAGGTTTTGGCTGAAGTTAGGCTTTAATACAGTCCATAGGCTGATCCGATATTAATGACTGCCACCCACACATTCATGCATACTGATATAATCCCTTCCTAACATTCTCCGATAATCCTCCTTAAAATGGTAAATCTGCCTACATATACTGAACAGCGGGTAAACGGCTGCAGGAAGAATTATGCATTGTGTTCTACTGCTAAAGTCAAATAGAGATCTGAGATAAGAGTCAGCAACCCCGAGACAGAGAGAAACGGCAAATGTGATTACCAGTCACCCTTCACCATATCAGACCTAAACATGAAACCAGTGTTACTGGCACCGAAGTTTAATCCCTTCCCAGATAATTCTCCCTACCACCCAGAACACAACTACGGATTTGTCCTTAACTGTAAAATCAAGTTGTAAGAAATAACCCAGCAGGTTTGGGGCTGTGAACAATGGTCCTATTGCCTTCTGGGAATGCTGACATTCAATGGGATTTGTTATGAAAAAGCTTTTCATCACATAGGCTCTAAATAAAAAATAAACAGCCTGGTAATACAAATGACTTTAAATGATAGACGTATCATTAAAATTCAGTTAATGAACCTACCATCATATGGACAGTTCTAGAGCTAAGGTCCATTGGCTTCGGGTCCTTCACTGTGCACTCTACTACTGCCAATACTATTTAATTCTTAATAGGCTAATATCAGTTAATAGTCCAATCCCACCCTGAATCCTGGAGGCACAACAGGAAGTGAGGGAGATGGGCAATCCATTCTTAGTTGTCACCAAAGCAAATGTACCCATATGAAGATTTCCTCTCTATTCCCGTTAAAGCATATCATCATATGGACAGTTCCAGAGCTAAGGTCCATTGGCTTCGGGTTCCTTCACTGTGCACTCTACTACTGCCAATATTATTTAATTCTTAATAGGCCCATATCAGTTAATAGTCCAATCCCACCCTGAATCCTGGAGGCACAACAGGAAGTGAGGGAGATGGGCAATCCATTCTTAGTTGTCACCAAAGCAAATGTACCCATATGAAGATTTCCTCTCTATTCCTGTTAAAGTGTAATCTAAACCCAAAACCAATAGGTAATACGTATATTTCAACTTACCAGTCCTTAGATGTGGTAACTGCATTAGTCATCTTTCTTTGACCTTTTTTTCCTTTATTTTCACCCGATGATTCAGCTAGTAACGCACTTTCAGTCCTAGCTGAAACACTTACTCACTCTTCTGTATCAGGTCAACAGAAACAAGCTGTAACTAGGGACCCTTGGCTATTATCCATTACATAGAGGGCTATGGTTCTGTAGTTCTCAGAGAAAAGTGTAACTGATAACAGTCAGCACAGGCAGAGAGCCTGTGCTGACTGTTATCATCTTACAAAATTTGCAGCAAAATCAACAATATTTTAAAATCATCAAGCAGATATAACACAATTCTTCCAGTGGTATATTTAGCAGACCAAAATGGACCAAATAAGAGAGGTTTATGGGAAAAAAATATGGGATGCGCTGCTTCCAAGTCCTGAATCAGGTCACTGTCATGGAAGCGTGGAGCTGAGCGGCAGCAGGGGCTCGTCCTATGCCAAACAGACTGCAAAAATCCAGAGGGAATGATCTATAATTAAGCCCAGCCTTGTGAGTGAAGCACATCAGAGCAGGACGTCCCATGTTCATGTTGTCCAGATGAATAAAGTTACCAGCGTTTTAAGTGTCTTCTTCGGAGTGCAGACAGTCCTTTTCTTTGTATCTGAAGAAAAGTTTATTGTTAGGATTTATGTACCCGATTTTGGATCTCCCATTGCATTCTGTCTTGGAGACAGTGGGCACAAGGACAAAAACATTGAGTCTGAATCTTCCCCAGCGGGGACACATATAACATTAAAAACCCAACAGTGGTTTAAAAACTTCCACCCTCTGCAAAACCACAAAAAAAAAACAGTTTAGACTTTAGATACACTTTAATGAAAGTCTGAGTAGCTTTGCTGTCTGAGGTTGTGAAGTAGAAAATGGTGGAAGGGATCATAGCGTTTAGGATACGGGAACAGGAAAGTTAAGTATAGAGCATTTCATTTTACAGCGTGACTTCAGTTTAACTAAGGATCACTTTAAAGATGTTCTTACTGTATTTAGCCCTATAAGCATTGCCTATCTATCAAGTGGCCATTTCCAGTAAATGTGAATATTAGCTCATACACATGAAAGAATGATTGTGCCACACTCCGTTTAATAGTCCAGATCCATCTTAATGCAAAGTGGGACAGAATAGAAATAGCCATTGCATTTCGGGGGCTCATACAAATACTCCCTTCATTAGGGCTTACTAAGAGAGAACATGTACCAGGTCTGTGATGGCTTGAAATGAGATATAATTTTGTCCAGTGTGTAAGAATGCACAGAGGTCTTCAGCAGCTGATTTGGCAGCCCTAAAACCAGTTGGCTCTTTCTATACTGTCCCCACAACCCTACATTGTATAAAGATGTATCTGGACTATTAAATGGAATGTGACGCTTTCATTCACATTCCTGAAGTTTGACAATAGAAACCAAAGGAGACAATGGAGATCCTTTGGAATGTAGAAGCTGCGTGTCCAGTAGTCAGATCATCTGTACTGACTATTTCCCATCATAATTGGCGATCCGCACCAATAGGACAAACCTTGTGTGTCCATCACTTTCATTTCTCTTCTTTCCTGTACATATAAGAGCATGGCATTTCTCTTAATAAATACAGTCTTGGCAACATGACCTTTCTTATCAATGCATGCCACCTTCATGGAATTGTCCTGATATATTATTTTTATTCTTCTGATCCATATTAAAGCAGCACTTTCTCTTTGTCAGATTGGCTGATCGTGTGTGTATCCCTGGTGTGTTTGGGTTTGATCTTCTCGGTCTGCATCGCACTCAATGCCCGCAGAATGTAAGTAACAGCTATTTAAATCACAATAGTATGAAATCGACAGATGAAGCATGTAGCAAGGAATAAGGGTGTTGTCCATGTCATCCAACCAGATTCTATATTCTTCTCTCCAGTAGACATGTTCATTTCGTTTTGTTCTGAATAGATATTTGTATGAGTTTTGTTAAATTTGGACATTCGGATGCATCTGAATTTCCGAATTCGAATGGTCCTTTTATGTAAATTTGGATCTGTCTAAATCAGTGGTTCTCAACCTGTGTAACCTCCGGACCCACATTTGTCATTAAGTCATGACCCAAGTCACACTGCAATGGAATGCACCGCATTGTGGTACCGCTCATTCCAGTGTGGGTGATTGAACTTTGGGTGGGAGGCGAGTTTGGGGTGCCATTCAAATTAGTGGCCTGTAGAGGTGTTGGGAGCCAGAATGTGATGTCATTCCAGTCCAGGCACCTCTACAGGACAAGTGCAAGGGAGCTGTAAGCAATGCATGTACGGATGGAGCTCCCTCACAGCCATAGCCCCAGCCCATCCCACCTCAAGCTGACACTCAGCACTGGGCAGCATATGTTAAAGGGCTGCTTGGCATGAGAACTGACAGTGCTGAGCTAGGGGGAGGCTGAGGAGCCTCTCACTAAGAAAAGTGGACGGCACGCAGCGACCCACTGAACACGGGAACAAGGGGATTTGAATGTTCTCATCCACCACCCACTGCCTACCGTGGTACTAGCAGTGTCAGTGCACTGGCGGCTTCTATAAACCCATCAGTGGCAGAGCTGGAATATGGGCAGGAAGAGCTTTTCGAAGCACTGTGATGGAATCCACAAACAGCAGCATTTTTTTAAAATGACGCATTCTCTATAGGACCCATTCAGGTTATTGCATTGCAGTAACATGCACTTTACCGCAGCGTGTGGCAAGGCATATTAGATGCCATTCATTCTGAATCTCATCCCAGTACACCTTGATAACTGACACGTGTACCGTGCATTGCGGTAAGCTGCTGGAAATGTTACATGCACATTTTTGGGCATGTTTTGATGCATTCGGCAGGCCATTCCAATAAATGGGCAGTCTTAGCGCAACACACTTTGACGCGTGACATAAAACACATAGTGGGGTGACTGGGCCCTTAAACTTAATGGGGGGAATTTATCAACGCTGGAGCAGACAAAATCTAGAGCAGCTGTGGATAGCAACCAATCAGCTTCTCTGTTCACTTTGTTTCGTTAAGATTTGAAAATGAAACATAGAGGCTGCCATTGCTGACCTCTCCTACTGCAAATATTTCCTGGCTGTCCCTGGCTTTGGAGTTACCGACCTGGAACAAGTTGGCAGCTAGTGAAGCCCAAAACTCTCAGGGTCATTTACAAAAGGGTGAAGAATTTGGAGAAGGGAGGGGAAGGGAACAATCTAGGACAACATAGCTTATTTGGAAAAATTCTACAATTCAGCTCACTTTCCAGTTCTGCTATGTTGTCCTAGATTGTTCACTTCTCCGGCCTCCTCCAAACCCTTCACCCTTTTGTGAATAACCCTGTCTGTATTCTTATTTCAGGTTGGTGATTTAAAAATGATTGATTCTATTGGCTTTTTCAAAAAGATTTCAGCAGGCCACGCTTCCTTTAGGCAGAGGAAAATGATGTATATGAAGGCACCGGCGAAGGTATTGTCCTTCTAAAAATTGCAGACCAAAAAAATAGCCAATTCCAGATGGCCTACAGGAAACCCAAATCATTTTTACTTATGATATCAATATTTACTAAAGCCATGGATACAAGTAAAATGATAAAATAGATCTAGACTTCAGACTGTGGTCCAGGCTCTGTATATCTGGAATGTGTACACTGCACATTTCATGCTCTTGATTAGAAACATTCCCCTCGCTTGCCGAGAGTGAATGGCCGCATTCTAATTTTTAGAATGCTGCCAGTACAGCTCCTGAATTGCCTGAGACTTGGGATATCCCTGTAACTGCAAAGAGCCATTGATTGATAGATATATATATAGATCTATATATATATATATTGTGAGCAGGTGATCGTTAGCTGGTACATAAACCCCCTGGGAATAAGCAGTCTCCTGGGCACAGATACCAAATCCAGGGGAGTAGTGGCAAACAGTGCAGTGTTTATTGGAGATATATTAGGGCTGCAACAACTAATTGACATAATCGATTATTGAAAAAGTTGTCAACTTTTTCAATCATCGTTTAATCGGCTTCCGATTAGTTGGCCCTGTTCATGGCTCCAAACACGGTGCGTGCCACACCTTCTCCCCACCTCACGCTTGCCGCTGCCAGGCCCGCCCGCATCCACACGCCGCATGTCCTCCCCGCCTCACGCTCAACGTCCGCCCACATCCACGATCGGCACAGGGATGCGGTGAGAACAAGTAAGGAGGAGCAGGTGTGGGGGGATGACAGCAGCTGACGGACAGGCCCGATCTCAGAAGCAAGTTGCTGGAAGACTGCACAGGTAAGCCTGCACTCCCCCCCCCACATGGTGCTCTATAATGTATTGCTGGGATTTGAATTCCTCTATAGCTGATGGTACATTATGCTGTATATTGTTCAGGACAATGTACCATCAGCTATAGAGGACTACAAAACCCAGCAATGGTACATTATACAGCGCAATGCAGAATACCACCAGCTATAGAGGAATACAAATTCCAGCAATACATAATACACTGTATGTATAATGTATTGCTGGGATTTGTAGTCCTCTATAGCTGGTGGTATTCTGCATTGCGCTGTATAGAGGACTACAAAACCCAGCAATGGTACATTATACAGCGCAATGCAGAATACCACCAGCTATAGAGGAATACAAATTCCAGCAATACATAATACACTGTATGTATAATGTATTGCTGGGATTTGTAGTCCTCTATAGCCGGTGCCATTCTGCATTCATTGCTATATAATTTTACACTTTTCATTTCACTATATTGCACACCACACCACACTCTTTTTTTTTTCTTTTTTACTTCCACCGCTCCAAGCTTGCTCCTGTGATGAAGTGCAATCTCAATACAAACTAGTAGTCCAATCACTGGAGCCATTTTTAAAAATAGATTTAAAAAAAAAAAAATGTATTTTATTTTATTTTTTAAAGTCTTGCGATGGTTGTAGAGTGTATGGCCACCTTCAGACAGGACTTGTCTGATCCCAGGTAGAGAGCGCTGAGTACAGGTTCCAGGTGAGACTAAATTGCCAGTGGAGAGAGGAGTAAACCCAGCACTGGAGCCCCGATCAGCAATTCCTAAATGTATAGGAGAGGAACCTGGGAGACCTATTAACTTTATCTATATATGTATCTATCTATCTATCTATCTATCTATCTATCTATCTATCTATCTATCTATATAAATATAGGTGTATATATATAACATTTTATATTAATTGGTTCTCTATACCTCACACTGGTTTTTAAAAACGGCATACCAAGGACGAATGGCACAAAACCAGATGGAAAACAGCTAACTAGTGATGAAAAGGAAAGGGAGCGACTAACATATCCTCCTGGTGAACAAAACCACTAAACATGCTTTTATGGGTAGGACAGAAAGAAAGGAATGTACACACTTATGTGACCCTTTTATGAATGGCCAACACTGTCTTCGGCAGCATATCCATACAGGACCTCAGCAATGTGAGGGTGCTGTGACAACTTTCAAGGACACGATCCTGAGAACCATCTTGCAAAAAGGACAATAAAACACATCTTTGGTATGCTGTAACATATAAAACCAGCGAGAATTCTGTTCAGCTGCACATGTGTGTTTTATTTTCCCGTGAGATGGCATGCTGTAAAAAATGCTTTGTTAAAATTAAATGAAAAACAGCAATTGTTCCAGATGTCTCAAGTTATAGACTCCTGTATAGTTTCTTTTCTCTGCTTGCCAATGAAAGATGATCTATTCTACATGAAGACATAATGGGATGATTACAGTGAAAACCGGTCTATAGCTTTAGTTAAAAGATACAGATGCAGAAGATACAGAAAAGAAAATGAATCAGACATTTTTAAATATCTAGTTTCAGTACTTGCAATTATGAAGATTTCAGAGAAGACAAACCTCAGCATTTCAAACTAAGCATAGTATTACAAATTACATAAACGGAAACAATCCGTAGATTCAGGGATGTAGACAATTAAACATTTTTTTTTACGTAGGGTGGGGGGGTCAGAAGGCAGAGCAGCACGGCTGCTCTGCTGCACAATGTTTGCAGTGTGTCTGCCACATCCTTTCTGGCCAGAGTGTCCCAGGTTCCTAAAAGCCAGGCAGGGAGATGTGTAAGGGACATACGCATCTCCCCATGCAGCTCTTAGCATCCTGGAACGATCTAAATCCCATCTAGCCCGTGGCACCCAGTGACGTGTTGCCAGGAGCTAAGTGGGACGCTCTGGCTGGTGTCCTGCTCAGCTTCTGGCAACCAGTGACATCAGTGAGCTGGGTGGGATGCCAGCCAGAACCGGAGCCAGAGCTCCGTTAGGGCACCATCAGAACTAACCACCCCCCCACCCGTAATGTACACCACCAGCCCCCCTCCCCTTCCTCCCCAGCCTCAGGTAGCTAAAAGGCAAGGGATGCCCCTGTCAGTCCCCACCACAGAGGAGCTCAATTTGAGTTTAGTTGGGCTTTATGCTAATGTTGCTACCATAGTCGCACTGCAGAGCAAATCAACCTAATCCACCTGGTGCTAAGTTTAAAAAAATGTTAAGTTCTTTATTTTAGCATCATATTGAAATATTGTCCCTCTGAACCCTATGCACACCCTTTACCTATTTAGAGGTTTTAATCATGTCCCCTGTTTTCCCTTCTCACCTCAAGGATGTGCATATAAAGTTCTTCCAGCCAGACTCTTCTGATACGTTTTATCCCTCAGACCTTGTATGATTATTGTTGGCCTTCTCTGCCCTCATCCTATTGTATCTTTTGTGGACAGTTGACCACAGATTTTTTTAACCAGATAAATACTGCTTGGGCACTGCTTTTAACTAGACTGCAAAATGTCTGCAGGCTGAAGCTATGACCAATATTTTTATAATATGCAAACCCTAGAGACATAATTCTCTGCTAATGAGTTGGTAAGCAACGCCCTCACGACTGTTAGCTAAGGCCACAAAATGTCCCTAATTTACCAAAGAGTCATGAATGCAATAATTTTGGATGATTTACATTTTTGTTAGTGGTTGTAAAGGAAATGCAGAACCCATTCCAAGAGCCAGTTTCCAGTTATAAGAGCTTGTCTTTTGATTGATTATGTTTTCTATGTTGTCCTTGCATTGGCTTCCTTAGCTGCGTTTTAGCTAAGACAGTCAGGTCACCAAATTCTAAAAAGAGTTCTGTTAATGGCAGGCACCATAGAAATGGTTACCAAGTAACTGCATTTGTATCAAGAAACTACCTGCTTAAAACAAAAAAGAAAATCCACAAGTACATATTAAGACTCTAAGAAAACTGTCCAATTTTGTTGAAACAGATCATGTTTGTCTTATCCAAACCCCTGACTCTTGAATTCTCTTTTCCATAGATGTGGGCAGAAAAAGAAATTGGTGATTAATGGCAACAAGGGATGTCCGGAAGATGGAGTTGTCATGGAGCAGAATGGAGACACAATTAAATCTCAGGAGATGGTGCAGCTAGTATCTAAAGAGCAGACCGGTGAATTAGGAGACCAAGACGAGCCTCTGACCCAAGATAACATGCGTAATACAAAGGACGTGGACATGAAAATCGGAGTCTAGAAACTTATATTACCTTTGGGATAAACCGCAAGGGGATCTCTGTTGGGAATCAATGAACTGGGACTAAAGTTTAAAAGTATCAAGAGCCACTGACTCTATAATAGGATCCTGTGTTGCTTATTTTTCTAGTCTGCCAATCAAGCCAAAAAAATTGTTGGCTCCTCATTGTTTGTGTGCAGATCGACGCCTCTTGACACACGCATAAAGAGAGATTCAAGGTGGTGTGGTGAAAGTAGAGGGCAGGTGAATAGAGCAAAGCCAGAGATGTGCAAACTAATTTTAAAGTACTTATCAAAAAAAAATGCAAGATCATCAATTAACCTATTATTCTGGACCAAACTCACTGGTGGGGCTAACAATATTTTTGAATGGATCACAATAAAATGCTAAAGGCTGCAGAAGGAAATGTTTTAAATAAAGCTACATCTGAAGGTACTTTGTAAATAGAAGCATGTGACCCATATTTATAAATACGTTTGGTATTCCTCGAAGAATGTGCTTGTTTAGGTTATATTTTATTGGCTTTAGAGTAGGGAGACAGAGTAAAGCTTTTTGATTTAAAATCTAGTTTTCAACACCTGTGTCATTTTGAGATTTTTTTTTATAATGTCCACAGTTTTCTTTAGCATGCTTTATAGAGCCCTTTAAATGTCAGCAATGTGGTCAAACTCTTAAAGCTGTGTGACAACAAGAAATCAAACTTGGAATTTCTGAATGTCAACGTTATCTTAGGTAGATCATGTCTGGCACTCTAGATCTGGTCTACAGTACATGGTCAACTGTGGCTGAAGATGAATCTAAGGAGGACAGCTGAGTCTAGTAGAACTAATATACCACAGACAGTAATGTTTGACTCCCTTGGCGTGTACTGAAGACAATAAATTAGATAGGCTTGTTTTATGGAAGTTTCAGGACCGTCATGTTTGTTAGAACTGATATATATTACAGTTTGTAGAAGATAGTTATGTTTGGCAGGATTGGTGCATATGAAAGTCCAGATTTAAGGCCATTTTGTTGTTTAGCCTTGATGCATTGAAGTCCAATGCTGGGCTCCCATGGTTGGACAGTCATGTTATGTCAAATTCACATACAGTGTACGGGAATTCAAGGTTTAATAGTCGTATTACAAATAGGATTGATTTACATGGAAATCCAGGGCTAGATATTCATGTTAGGTAGATATGGGAATCCAAAGCTAGATAGGTAGAGTTGGCTTACATGGCAGTCCAAGACTAGATAGCCATTTTTGGTTAAACTTGGCTTCTATGGGAGTCCAAGGCTAGATAGTTATGTTAGGCAGACTTGGCGTACATGGCATCCAGGGATAGCCAGTAAGGTAGAGTTGGTTGTCATGGGAGCCCAAAGCTAGGCAGTCATGTTATGAAGCTATCATTCTTACATGGTAGTCCAAGTCTAGAAAGTAGTGTAATGTAGAATTTGCCTGCATGGGAGTCCAAGGCTAGATAATCATGTTGGGTATCCAGGCATGGGCAGTCAGGTAAAGTTGTGTTACATGGGAGTCCAAAGCTAGGCAGTCATGTTATGAAGCTATCATTCTTACATGGGAGTCCAAGCCTAGGCAGTTATGTTATGAAGCTATCATTCTTACATGGGAGTCCAACGCTAGGCAGGTATGCTATGAAGCTATCATTCTTACATGGGAGTCCAACGCTAGGCAGGTATGCTATGAAGCTACCATTCTTACATGGGAGTCCAAGGCTAGGCAGTCATTTTATGAAGCTATCATTCTTACATGGGAGTCCAAGGCTAGAAAGTAGTGTAAGGTAGAATTTGCCTGCAAGGGAATTAAAGGCTAGATGGTCCTGTTAAGTAGGCTTGGCTTATAATGGAGTCCAAGACTAGATAGTCATGTTATGGAGACTTGGTTTACATAGAAGTCCAAGGCTGAACACCTATAGAGTTCTAGGGCTAAACCTTCGCCCAGGTCTGACCTTTTTAGTCAGTATCAAGAGGTCAACATTTTGAGGAAAACCAGTTTATTTGCAGCACAGTGATTTTAAGGCCGGAGGAAAAGGGTTCAGCACTCAGTACCTAGTTTTTACTTTATTTTATACCACACTGTAAAAAAACAGCAAAGTAAACTAGAGATCATCCCAGTTTTTTGCCATCTCACATGGTCGAGCATGCTCTGTCAAGGTGGTGGAATCCCAGACAAGAATCTGGGAATCCCATCCACCAAGAAAGTATTTGTGACTGAAATGGATTGACCAGATGTATCTACATTATAGTACTGAAATGGAGTGACCAGATGTATCCGCTTTTTAATGCTATAACACCCAGATGGTCTGGTGCATGGGTTAGTTTAATTGGCTTGCATACCATATTCAGCGTGTCACAAATGAGCAATCATTAATAAGATCAACCTAAAAACTCATCTATATCCTTTCTGGATTTCTGGACTTAGTGTGAACAGTAAATGGAAGACCGAGGTAGGATGGCCATGCAAGGTTATCCCTGTTGCTCCAGAAAAAAACCCATTAAAGTGCTGTATATCTAAAGTCCAAAATATTTATTTTGTTTTGGAATGGTTAATACCCTTGTCAAGTTTTTGTTTTTGCTTTATGTGTGCCATTGGGGAGAGTCTCTTTCACATTCTGTCCAAAGACTAAAAAATGGAAACTGAACTCCAGCCTTACCTTTAGTCTGGCAAAGTCCTCTCCTGTAGTAAAATGCCTCACTCTGATTTCACTGTACACTGTGAGCTTCTCACATCGTACTGCGGCCCCATTCTGCCCCGAGCATTGCACAGTTCAATTAGCAGTCTTTAGCAGAGATCACCTGGACGAATGTCGTTAATCGACCGCACGGATTTTCGATTGCGTTTTAACAGTGTTAATCGGACGAATTTTGACGTACGGAAACGCCACCAACCTTGCGAAAATCGTACGATTCTACAGTAGTTTTCTAAGCTTCTGGAAAGACAAAAGTCGATCGATTGTACAGTATTTGCGGTTGTACACTGCCCGTCAACCTTACGAATATCGGACGGAATCACGATCGCAAACGAAATTCGGCTGATATTCGTAAGGTGTATGGGCACCTTTAGGTAGTGGCTGCCTCATGTCCTGGCTGGAAGATGTCAAGCATCTGTTATCTATTTCCTCCCCAGCCTAACTGTCCCTGGCCAGCCCTTGCCATCCATTGGATTTCAGTTCCTTTAATCATGGAGGCTCAGCATCCCATGTGGGTGTTAGGTAGGGCATGCAAATACAGCCAACCTAAGAATCCCCCCCTCCTCCAGACTGACATTTTGACATAACTCCTCCCAAGATCCAGCCCACTGCTTGCATCAGGACTGACAGCTCTTGAGAGGAGTACTGGGGCTGGGCCCTGTGATGTTTTCAGGAATGCATAGATAGCAATAAAAACATTTCCCATCACTTCTGATCCGGACAGGGTGTGAGTAGGGACACAGCAATAAAAACATGACTGAGGCTTTAACCCTTCCCTTTAACCATAACCATCCCTTTTGCAAAACAAAGTAAAACATTTTGGCAGTAATGGTGCTTTAACCTGTGATACATTTTTGCATCATGTCCCATCCAGTTACATAAAAAACATGTTTTTTACTCCTATTTATAAGATAAATATTCCTCAAGTTTGCACATCTCTGTACAGCTTTTTCCCAGACATTTTTATTTTTGTTTTTTGTCCTGCCACTGGGTAGCTTAGTTTCTGCAATTTCAGGTGAAAGCGTTAGACCTCTTAAGGGCCCATAAACACTCAAACGTTGCGTTGTGTTAATGCATGCACCTTGTGGCACGTGTTAAACGTGTGCTATTACAGCAGCCCATTCATTGTAAATGAATTAATAATTATGAATGGGCTGCCAAGCACCACAATGAATTAAAAAAAAACAACATACATGACCCTTTTACGTACAGTATGTGTGTTGTGGTGTGTTATGCATCAGGCTCCTCTGTACAATGTGGTGGGGTGCAAATCACACTGACAGACACCACAAGGCAACGCACGTAGAGCAGGTGCCCTGCCATGCATTGCAGTAACTCCAGTCAATGTGCGACCACGCAAGAGTGCGAATGGGCCCTCAGTGTACCTGTCATTCATGTGCATGAGGCAGACAAATTGGGCTGATTTACTAAAGGAGTAGAGCCTGCTAACTTTGCAAAGTGAATTTTCGCTTAGCAAGGGAATTTTCAATGAGTTAAAGCTGTGCTACCCTCCAATCCTGTGCAATCAAAAATCCTGTTTTAAAAAAAAAAAAGGTTGTCTTTGCATGTGATTGGGTATTCTTTGCAAAGTGAATTTTCACCAAATTCACAGCCACACGCTGTTGGAGCAGTGGATCAAAAAGTTGCACCAAACCAAATTCCAGTACTGTATTACAGTGGTGTCACAAGGGGGGTGCGGGGGATGCAGCCCGCACCGGGTGACACCATGAGAGGGGGTGACACCAAAATGACTGATGATCATTTTGGTGTCACCCCCTCTGGAAAGTTGGTGCTTGGTCATGGTTCAAGAGCCTGACAGCTGCACGAGAGAGGAAGCTTAACTTATCCAGCCAGATGAACGTCCCCTCCTCTCTTTGCCGGAATCCATCACAAAGATGGCCACCAGCAGTTAAGTGCGCGTGGCATCATTACGCACGTGCCTGATAACGTACCACCAGGTGACACCAGTCAGCCGCACCAGGTGACACCCGGTCTGGTGACTCCTCTGCTGCATTAAACTGTTCCAGCACAAAATGGCTGCCAGGGTAGCGCATGTGCGACAGGTACACTTCAACGTTCAAGCAATATTTTGCAATAGGTTAGCATCAACCGTATTTAATGGCCACATTTTACATATCGCTGGTGTAGCTGCTGCGAGTCGAGCCCAATTAACATAAAAAACAGAAAGTAGATTAATACTGCGTAGCCTTTCAAGAGGTGTTTTAGCATTGCCCGCTCAGCCGGAACTCCAAGAAATTACAGACTCTGAGAAAAGGAAGGGATAAATGATACAGAGCCCGGGATTATTTTATGAATGACAATTTTCTGCTATTGTCTTAGAACGCGAATGTAAATTTAACCCATTCTCTCCCTCGAAGGACCCTTCGTTCGCAGGGTTTAGCGGTTTCCTGGTCAGTTAGTGGGTTAAAAATAAAAATAGAAATCTATTTGTCTAAGTACATAAGAATGTTTGTACATATCGTTCACCTGCTTGTTGTATATAAAAGCTTTAAAAATAAGAAATCCTCTGTGCTATCTTGTCGAGTATTGTGTGCTTATTTTGTGTGTATTTTTTATATAATTTCCCCGTTTTAGACCTTCCCGACAAAGTTAATATCATG